ATAGAGCTCATATAAAGAGAATTTCACTCGCGGTCACTTTTTAGCCCTCGTCGAGGGCTTTGAGTAAGACCGACAGGTCTGCCCTACGGTCAAGCCATTTACCTATAAACATGCCAAAAATTAGCCAGATGTAAACAGGGTAAGTGCCCTAAAATCCGTTTTGAAATGACCCTCTGTTTTTCCCATAAAATACAAAGATTATATAGGGAAATACGACTGGTCAGTTTTGACCCATTTAACGAATTTTCCCGGACATGGCGAGTTTTTTGGGACACCTCAAGGCGTTCTCCTACCACCTCACAAAATTTCAAGGGGGGTCGTCGGAGGAAATTTTTTTTCGTAATATAGCCCATATAAGGCGCCGGTCAGTCGAGGTCAGTTTTGACCCCCTCTCCGTGGACTTTTCGGCAAACCGTCACCGGCCCTCGTGTTCTATTGCCCCAAGGCACCATCGTGCTAAATTTGACGCGCCTGCGGCGCCGGGAAGTGCCCTATCGGGCACCCGACCACTTTGCTTTATATATATAGACTAGGCATACTGCCTAGCTTCGCTTAGGTTTTTAAATAACATTTGAGAATTTGAATACTTAATTATTTAGCGATGGATTTGGTGTTGAGTGCTTTAATTTAAACAGTAATGCTAATTTTAGAAAAAAAATGTTTTAGTTTGTCATTTAAATACCGTTCGCAGAGAAATATCGGAAAGTACGCAATGTATAAGTAAAATGGAATTAGAACTACACAGCTTCCATGAACAGTAGCCTACATCTCATAGTTTTTATTACATTGCCTTTTGAAATTTATTTATTTATTTATTTAATTGGGATATGTAACTAAATTAACAACTTAATTTTGTACTAAAACAAATGCTATAATTCGTCATTTTCTGTTTCTGTTTAAAATAGTATACAATTATTTGAAAAATAATAATTTAAAAAACGTTACCTCCCTTGAAAACTGAACGTATGACGTATGTCTTTGTTTTTTTTTTACAAACAGTTGCTATGCTTATATAAGAAATTACGGTATATGAACATATTTAACAACTATAATGGCTGTTTCCGACGGGAATAAAGTTTTTTTGTTAGCCTCCAGGGTCGGTCTACGACGTCACATAATATTAAGGGAATCGTTCGTCAATTTATTTATATATATATCTCATATAAGGAGAATTTCACTCAAGATCATCTTTTAGCCCTCGTCGAGGGCTTTGAGTCTGACCAACATTTTTACAATACGGCCTAGTCATCTATAAAAGTGTATGCAAAAATTAGCCAGATATACTGAGCTTAAGTACCCTAAAGTCTGCGTTGAAATGACCCTCTGTTTTTCCCATAAGATACAAAGATTATATAGGGAAATACAACTGGTCAGTTTTGACCGCTTTACAAAGTTTTCCCAGATATGCCGAGTTTTTTTTGACACCCCTAGGTGTTCTTCTACCATCTCACAAAATATCAAGGGGGGTCGTCGGAGGAATTTTTTTTTCGTAATAGAGCTCATATAAAGAGAATTTCACTCGCGGTCACTTTTTAGCCCTCGTCGAGGGCTTTGGGTGTAACCGACAGTTTTCTCTAAAGGTCAAGCCATTTACCTAAGAGTATGCAAAAAATTAGCCAGATGTAAAGAGGGTAAGTGCCCTAAAAGCCGTTTTCAAATGACCCTCTGTTTTTCCCATAAAATACAAAGATTATATAGGGAAATACAACTGGTCAGTTTTGACCCCTTTACGAAGTTTTCCCAGATATGCCGAGTTTTTTGTGACACCCCAAGGTGTTCTCCTACCACCTCACAAAATATCAAGGGGGGTCGTCGGAGGAAAAAATTTTTCGTAATAGAACTCATATAAAGAGAATTTCACTCGCGGTCACTTTTTAGCCCTCGTCGAGGGCTTTGAGTCAAACCGACAGTTTTTCCTAAAGGTCAAGCCATTTACCTAAGAGTATGCAAAAAATTAGCCAGATGTAAAGAGGGTAAGTGCCCTAAAATCCGTTTTCAAATGACCCTCTGTTTTTCCCATAAAATACAAAGATTATATAGGGAAATACAACTGGTCAGTTTTGACCCCTTTACGAAGTTTTCCCAGATATGCCGAGTTTTTTGTGACACCCCAAGGCGTTCTCCTACCACCTCACAAAATATCAAGGGGGGTCGTCGGAGGAAAAAATTTTTCGTAATAGAACTCATATAAAGAGAATTTCACTCGCGGTCACTTTTTAGCCCTCGTCGAGGGCTTTGAGTGTAACCGACAGTTTTCCCTAAAGGTCAAGCCATTTACCTAAGAGTATGCAAAAAATTAGTTAGATATACTGAGTTTAAGTACCCTAAAGTCTGCGTTGAAATGACCCTCTGTTTTTCCCATAAAATACAAAGATTATATAGGGAAATACAACTGGTCAGTTTTGACCCCTTTACGAAGTTTTCCCAGATATGCCGAGTTTTTTGTGACACCCCTAGGTGTTCTTCTACCACCTCACAAAATATCAAGGGGGGTCGTCGGAGGAAATTTTTTTTCGTAATAGAGCTCATATAAAGAGAATTTCACTCGCGGTCACTTTTTAGCCCTCGTCGAGGGCTTTGAGTCAAACCGACAGTTTTTCCTAAAGGTCAAGCCATTTACATAAGAGCATGCAAAAAATTAGCCAGATGTAAAGAGGGTAAGTGCCCTAAAATCCGTTTTCAAATGACCCTCTGTTTTTCCCATAAAATACAAAGATTATATAGGGAAATACGACTGGTCAGTTTTGACCCATTTCCCGATTTTTCCCGGACATGGCGAGTTTTTTGTGACACCCCAAGGCGTTCTCCTACCACCTCACAAAATATCATGGGGTGTCGTCGGAGGAAATTTTTTTTCGTAATAGAGCTCATATAAAGAGAATTTCACTCGCGGTCACTTTTTAGCCCTCGTCGAGAGCTTTGAGTGAGAACGACAGGTCTGCCCTACGGTCAAGCCATTTACCTATAAACATGCCAAAAATTAGCCAGATGTAAAGAGAGTAAGTGCCCTAAAATCCGTTTTCAAATGACCCTCATTTTTTCCCATAAAATACAAAGATTATATAGGGAAATACGACTGGTCAGTTTTGACCCATTTCCCGATTTTTCCCGGACATGGCGAGTTTTTTGTGACACCCCAAGGCGTTCTCCTACCACCTCACAAAATTTCAAGGGGGGTCGTCGGAGGAAATTTTTTTTCGTAATAGAGCTCATATAAAGAGAATTTCACTCGCGGTCACTTTTTAGCCCTCGTCGAGGGCTTTGAGTGAGACCGACAGGTCTGCCCTACGGTCAAGCCATTTACCTATAAACATGCCAAAAATTAGCCAGATGTAAAGAGGGTAAGTGCCCTAAAATCCGTTTTCAAATGACCCTCATTTTTTCCCATAAAATACAAAGATTATATAGGGAAATACGACTGGTCAGTTTTGACCCATTTCCCGATTTTCCCCGGACATGGCGAGTTTTTTGTGACACCCCAAGGCGTTCTCCTACCACCTCACAAAATTTCAAGGGGGGTCGTCGGAGGAAATTTTTTTCGTAATATAGCCCATATAAGGCGCTGGTCAGTCGAGGTCAGTTTTGACCCCCTGTCCGTAGACTTTTCGGCCAACCGTCACCGGCCCTCGTGTTCTATCGCCCGAAGGCACCATCGTGCCAAATTTGACGCGCCTGCGGCGCCGGGAAGTGCCCTATCGGGCACTTTACCACTTTGCTTTATATATATATAGATATATATATATATATATATATATATATATATATATATATATATATATATATATATATATATATATATATATATAGGCTGGTAGGCTGAGGGCCGCCTCCTAGTGCAAGAGAGCCATGGTCGGCTCAGGGCCGCCTTCTAGTGCAAAAGAGCCATGGTCGGCTCAGGGCCGCTTCCTAGTGCAAGAGAGCCATGGTCGGCTAAGAATATAGGATTGGTAAACCAATGATGAAACCCTCCTACATTTCTTCAGACTTTATTTGTCTTTTATGCATTTCTACACCTTTTATCAGATCTTCATGCAACTGGGAAGTTGTTGATAATGCTCATGGGGCTTTTTTTTGCTGAAAAATTTCAATTTCGCACGGTCGGCGTCACAGGAGTGTGTGGTTTGGCGCCTCGATTTATTTTGTTAGCGCTATGGCGTCTGCGTTCGTTTTAAACTAACCTAAACTCGCCTACTTTATTTTAGTGAACGACTATTAAACCCAATCTGATGTATAGTGTTTCGCAATGTTTAAAACCGACTTAGGTGCCATATCTCTCACAGGATAGCCCAGGGCGCAAAATCGCAACCAGCTAGGGCGCCGGTGAACTCGCCTGATTCAATATATTGAACGACTATAACGCCCAATTATATCCATTGTCTATTGCACTGTGTAAAACGAACATAGGCGCCATAACGCTCACGGAAAAGACAAGGGCGCCAAGATGCACCCTGCTCGGGGCCGCCCATGCGAAACTGAAATTTTCCCCCAGAAACATTTTTGAGAATATTCTCATCAACTCCACAGTTTCATGGCACTCGGATAGACGGTGTCGAACCACAACCGACTTTTATTTGTTATATACAGTAAAGACAGAATAATCGCACCATCCAGTGGTGCCGCTCGAAATTAAATACGATTGTTTCTCCAGACTTTCTCGAACTTTCTCCAGAGTATTTTGTTCAACTCCCCAAAGTTTCATGGCTCTCTGATGAACGGTATCAAACCGCATCCGAGTGTTGTTTTTCATTTATTGTATATAGAGGGAAAACATTAATAAAAAACGTTTTAATAACAAGCTTTTATGTAATAATGCATTAAAAAGTAGAAAATTAATCATACTCTACTTTAAAGAACTAAGTATGGGTACACGTTTAATGTGAATTATATGCTTATATACTTTTAATATTACACTTGTTTGGTTAAAATAATTTGTAAAAAAGTTATTGGTCAAAACGCAATGTGAATTTAATAAACGTTGAACGATAAAAGTGACAAAACAAGAAAGAACTAATTAACAAAAATGCGATACATTTAAAAATAACATAGGTTACCAACAACTATTTAATATTAAAACCAAAATATATACATTTTTAGTCAAGACAACACCATATTAAATGCAGACACTGATTAATAGTCATAAATGATTCCGTTAAAACCCCGGCTCAATGGCATTTGTGTTGTTTATTTAAATCAATTTGTATTGGTTTTGGCCGAGAAAAATGTATAGATTTCCTTCAACCCAAAAAACAATGTTGATCTTTCAAATTTTATTTCATGAAGAAAGTGAAGACCATTCTGAGGACGTCTAACCTCTTCCTTTATTTTTTATTGGGTGTCTGATAAATAAAGTACAACATATAGTAAAGTAAACAACATATTTATACATCTTATATATAGGCGATATAAACACATACACACACAGACACACACATACACACACACATATATATATATATATATATATATATATATATATATATATATATATATATATATATATATATATATATATATATATATATATATATATATAATACATCGATACATGAAGTGTAAAGCAGAGAGACCAAGGAGGGTACATAGATCAATAATGAGAGAAAATGGAATAAGAAAAGCACATAGAGTTCCTGCAATGTAAATAGTCAAACTATGCCTTCAGCTATTACTTACGTTAAATGGGTTCAAAATATTCGACACCTCGCTGGAAAATAAAGAAACATGCGAAGATTTTATAAAATTATAGTCAAACATATATTAACACAATACACTGAGTAATTATAGGATGGAGTGGTCTAGCGGTAGAGAGCTCGACTACTAACCCGTAAGTCTCGAGTCCTAATCCGGGTTCTAGTCAGTAGACCGTCCCTGAGTCAACCCAACTCTGATGGGTACCTAACTCACGTTTGGGAAAGTAAAGGCGGCTGGGCATAGTGCTGACCACACTATCTCTTCATATGCCGATTTCACAGAAACAAGTGAACTCTACTTCACTTGCCCCATAGACCGCCAGGTTTGAAAGAGAAACTTTACTTTACTTTACTTACTGAGTAATTATCCTTAGAAGAACTTGAAAATGTTATTACAGTAAACAGTTAAAGCGGGAGTGATCACCCTCTCAACTGTTTATAATATTCTTATATTCACATGACCCTTACCTGAATAAAAATGTGCTCCTAGTGTTAGCAAGATCCGTAACCCTAAGTATTCCGTCGGTGTAAGTTGCTGAAAAAATAATATAACAATACATGTAACCTTACATTGTTCACTTTAAAATAATCAGCTTTATATTTAATATGCTCTGAAACCATGATAACTGTCATAATTATATTTAACTACTTTATCCAAATCTGCATAATTGGCGGATTAACAAGAGAACTAAATCTTGTTTTTTCTTTTATATATATATATATATATATATATATATATATATATATATATATATATATATATATATATATATATATATATCACTGCCACAGTGGGGATGTGGTGTGATGTCACCCACTGAGGTGTAGTGTTTTAAGGGCCGACACAGAAAGATAACACAACCAACGACGCTTATTGCTGGAATATTCTGATTTATCGCCTACCAGATGCAAGTACATGTACTAGTACTAAAATCATTCCTATGACGATAAGTCCAATGATAAATCCATAAACGGAATGGATCTCTGCGTTAGGTCTTTATATAATGAAGTTAACCTATGCCAATGTCAGCGACTGAGCGGTCCTAGTCATTCGCAGTCTGGGGTTTGAATGCCGCGGATACTGATACAACTACCCAGAGTTTCAGATGTTACATGACATGGGAAGACACAAGGAAACATTGCTCACAGAAGAGCATAAAAAAAATAACACTAACAGTTGCGGTCCCACAGTGGCCACAAAAAAATAAATTGTAAATTATCCCACCTTGACTGGTAACCCATGGTATGTGTTTCACAACCCACCTAACTAATAAATATGGGACAAGAAGGAACAATCATGACCTGCGTCTAACATCCTATCAGTGGCGTCGCTAGGTCGGGTGTCAGCCGGTGCGGCATTTCGTGGTGTCACCCCCCAAAGAAACAAAGTATATATAAATAAATAAATAAATAAATAAATAAATATATATATATATATATATATATATATATATATATATATATATATATATATATATATGTGTGTGTGTGTGTCGGCCTACAATTTAAATATACGCCACATACGGGTATATGCTTGTGTATATGTGTTTAAGCTTTAAACACTGCAGACTTAATATTAACGAGGTTTATCTATTATAGTCTGTTAGTAATACAGTGTATAGTTAGCACGTTTACGTTATGGTGTCACCCACCACCCTCTTGTAATAGTTGTCGAATTTTACGTAAAAGAATACTTAACTTTAATTAATCACTAAAAGGTCTGGCAAAAAGGCATTTTCTTCTGTACATTTTGCAATATTTTGGCTTGGTGTCACCCCCTAAATGGTGTCACCCGGTGCGGTACGCACACCCCGCCCTGCCCTCGCTACGCCTCTGCATCACATCTTCTCGATATACCACTCTCAAACAAAATTAATCTGCCTCATTATCTATCCTGTCCGAATGGGCAATATACTAAATTTAACAGGTCATACCTTGACAGCTTTTGAAGTTTGCGATATTTTCATTGGCCGACCCATTTAAAACAGTGAGGAAGCAAAACCCTTGGAAAGTTGTGAAGACGACGCATTGTGGGTTGGCAAAACACAAGTCCTGGCATTGCTGGTAAAGAAAGAGAGTGTCTGATTCTTTATTTAAGTGGACAGTTTAGTAGTACATTTCAAACATTGTCTAAGCTGGTTAAATTAAGTTTTGTTAAATGAAACGGGCTACGGCTACATTATACAAACACAGTTTTTAGTTTTCGATGGTGATAGTAATATTTCAATTGAAATAATAATGTTTTTCATAATAATGATAATGCTCTTTTTTATATGGGTAAAGCTAATAATGTTGATTTTTTTGACGATCATAATCTTTCTTCTTCTTCGTTCTTAATTATTAGTGTTGAAGGGGATCGAGATTTATCTGCTAGTGGGTTTGAACTCGAGACTTTGTTCGAATTTATCAACCATGAGCTTTTTGCCGACTCGACCACGCCTCCAACACAATTAAGCGTTACGTGTCAACTGGTTATCCGCCATTGAGGCCATTGACTCCGATTTCAGCCTGCTTTTCTTTTTGGATTTGCTTCGAAGAAGAGTGGCTATCCCCAGCTAACGAGCCTCATCTGCCCGAGGGTTCGAACTCGAGACTTTTCGGTTTAGCAACCATGAGCTTTACCGACTCGACCACGCCGACCCCTAATTAACAAGACAATTATCTTCATTTATTATCAAAATTAAAAAAAAAACCCACTTTTTAAAATATTTTGATAATAAAAAGTTCAATTTTCATTGTAAAAGTATTTTAAAAACTTATTTAGTGTATAAAATATAGAAAAAAATAACTATTATAATTATAAATCAACCACCCACATTAAACAAACATTAATTATCTCCGGCTTATTATTTTAAAATAAATCAACTCCCGAAACCTTGTTAAACAACTTAACTCTTTATCAACCAAACTAAGAAAAGCAAATGTGAACTCTTTCCTTCAGTTTTAACACCTCCCCCAGCACCTTCATTCTATAACAATAGCAAACATGAATCTTAAATTTTTGCTATTTGTCTGAAGCAGTTTTTTTAACAACCATGAGCTTTGCCGAATCGACCACGCCTCCAACACAATTAAGTATACGTGTCAACTGGTTATGCGCAAATGAGGCCATTTACACCGATTTCAGCCTGCTTTTCTTTTTGGATTTGCTTCCATAGCCTTTGTCCAACCAAGAACAAAATACAAGGCAGCAGTTGTTTTATTTTGGAGTTGTCTCTCCTGGAAGAGTGGCTGTCCCCAGCTAACGAGCACAACTGCCCGAGGGTTCGAACTGGAGACTTTTCGGTTTAGCAACCATGAGCTTTACCGACTCGACCACGCCGACCTCTATGAAACACACTAATAAAGTAAATATAAACGTTCTAGTATTTACCTGAAATGTTGAATTACCAATGTTTACTTGACCTAGGCCGATGGCAGTGCACTGGGCTAAAAAGATACTTTTATGTATATATTTAAAAGCAATATATTGTTTTGATATAAATTAACGGTATCGGGACAAATACTTAAAGTCTCAAGGACAAATGATTTCACGGGAAAAAAAATATCTCAGGACAAAAGATATTATTACACATGATATGTACAAGTGATAATCTACATAATATTGCAAACAAAAATATTATATAGGTACAGTATCTAAGTACATTTATGGTAAGAGTTATTTAATTTATTTACAAATCTATCATTAAAAAACTAAAATATGGGATGCATCTGTGACGATGTTTCCCACAGCAATTATATTGTGTACTCGCTGGGAAACTTTAATTTTAGAAGTACTTTCTCAATTTAACGGGAAAAATAAATCGATCTCTATTATCAAGGTTAAAGTGACCCAATACTGACCAAGTTTGACCAGTGCCTTATATAAACTATGCATTTTTGAAGTATTTGAACTATATCGACCAAAATAGTAAATTTTGCTTTAAATTTACCATTAAGCGACTTATATATCGGCACTTGTTCTCCATGGGGAAACTTATCTATATGTATATAGTTCTCTTCTGGGAGACGCTATAAAGCAAGCTGTAAGCGCGCTCCCTACCACCCCACCCCTGCATGGTCTGGTGAGCTGTGGTTCACGCTAAATGTTTACATTAATCGTAGAGCCGGGTTTAGTGACGGCTATTAGAGGCAGATAATTTAGTTTGAAACGATTTTAAACTTAGGGGAGGTAACTAAGAGGAGGCTGCTTTCACGGGGGGGGGGGTGTAGGGTAGGGGTTGGGGGAAAGGAGGGTGGGGGTAGTATCGTCCTTAACGACCTACTGATAGTGTTTTAAAGCAAATATTTTCAGTGGCAGCATTGGTACTGTCGAATTCACAAATTATGAATTACTGAAAAGGAGAAAATAAAACAACTAAATAGCGGCGTATGATATGCCGCGGGTCGGCTCGATTTATTTATTTGTCAATGTGTGTAGAGGATTGTACGGCTTCGTTAAAAAAACCGGCCAACTTTGGGCTACAAGACTAGTAGCCACGAAGGTGTGGAACAAGTGTGAAGTCACGCCCCCCCCCCCTTACGACCAGTCGCTCGTCACACAACGGCTGTCGTTAATTTTAGTATCACTGTTTACCATGGACTAACGATTGCTATTAAAGCCTCTTGTAAACTATTTAACAGAGTTTCTTCCAGGTATCTCTTCGAAGCCCTTCCCCCTCCCCCCCCCCCCCCCCCCCGAGGAACGCCTACCGCCCCCTCCCCCCTCCGAATGAAATGAATTTATATAGGACATATATACTTTTAACAGTGCCCGCTCCCCCGGAAATTTTATTCCCCCCCCCCCCGAAAATTTCCAGCCCCCCCCCCCGGAACAAATTCTGGAAGAAACACTGCTATAAAAGACACTTGTAAATTATTCTATTATAGATGTTGAATAAGTTATAGTCATATATAAAATATACCAAACACGAGTACAGTGCTGTTTCTTCCAGACTTTTTCTCGGGGGGGGGGGCACTTGATATTTTCGGGGTTGGGGGGCGGTCTACATTTTCCGGGAGAGCGGACACTAGTAAAAGTATTTGTTTACAATATAAATTTCATCTCGTTCGGGGGAGGGGGGGGGGTGCAGTAGACTTTCTTCGAGGGGGCGGAGCCTGGAAGAAACTCTGCATGAGTAAGTATTAAGGGACCTCTTGTTCAACGAGACATGCCCCAGGCCATAAAATATTCCTGTAGCTGCGGATATATATATATATATATATATATATATATATATATATATATATATATATATATATATATATATATATATATATAAGCGTATGACTCGATAGAGCATATTTGCCAAAGGAGGGGGTGAAAGGGGAGGGTTTGTCGAGAAAAAAAAATGTATAGGCTTATATAAGGGAGGGGGGGGGGGGTAACTTCCAAGACTTGCTCGTCATTTAGGACACCCCCCTGGTGTTGGCATATAACCTCACAGAATATCATGAGGAGAGGTTGAAGGGGGGGGGGGCGTCGCCACGAACTTTTTTTTTCAATATATAGTTTCTATTAGGCACTTATTAATAGCAGTCAGCTTTCAACTACTGGTCGAAGACTAAGTGTCCACAAAAGTAACCCCCCGTTTTTTTTAATCATCCCATGCCGTTGTCTGCAAATTGGAAGCGCAGGCGGAACAGTAACGTGCCCTAACCCGCAACAGACCACTTTACTTAATATGTATAGATTTACCATAAGCCGTCTGCTGATTCACTGCATTCATAGTAAAAAAGGCAGCGAAAACGATGTTATAAATTGATTGCATGATGCCGAGCTCGATCTGTGAATAAAGACAGAGTTAACCAGTTAAATCACGACATTAAAGTGCATTTGGTGAAAAAAATGTGATTAAAATGTATTAAAAATGATTAAAATGTATAGATTTATGTTAAAAAAAGTAAAGTTCCCTTCTCAAAACTGACGGTTTACAAAAAAAGTAAAGTAGTAGAGTTCACCTGTTTCTGTGACCTCGGCATATGAAGGGATAGCAGAGGCGTAGCGAGAGGGGGGGGGAGGCGCCAAAACGGGTTTGAAAAACAAATTGAAAGTTTGAAGGGGGGGGGGGTGCACAAATCGAAAGTTTGAGGTTTTAGGGGGGGGGGGGGTTGTGCAAATCGAAAGTTTGTCCTCGGGCGCCGGGAAGCGTCGCTACGCCTCTGAGGGATAATGAGGTCAGCACTATGCCCAGCCGCCTTTACTTTCCCTAACCTGAGTTAGGTACCCATCAGAATTGGGTCTACTGTCTTGAACCCGGATTCGATACTGACGGGTTAGCAATCCAGCTCTCTACCACTAGACCACTCAACTATGTTTAAGTTGTATAAAGATTTCAGGATTACACTTGAAGCGACGAATTTAATTTCCTGTAACAGGTAAACTTGCAGGAGTGTCTTAGGGGTTCGGCGGAGTTCAAGACACCCACCCGGCTTAAACGGTTCACGATCGGAATTAGTCAGTGCGGATGATATAGCCTTAAAAAGGGTTCGGAGATTGCGCGTATGATACTGATTGGATTTGGTACCTCCAAAAGGTTAAGAACCACTGGGCTAGAATACATCCGTCGCCAATCACTAGCATTATTGAGTAACTTTCAATATCAAGAAAATCTATTGTTTTTAGCCGACGGCAAAACCTATACTAACATGAAAGTTGAATATACAGGTTATAGACCATCATGCACAAAAGAGTATCTTAATTTTTGGTATATATATATATATATATATATATATATATATATATATATATATATATATATATATATATATAAGAATTATATATGACGATTGATACTTGACTATACATTCGACATACACACATTTGTTGCGTAGCGTTCTTTAGTCAGTAGTATTATGCGAAAACTCAAACCTTAAATATGAGAGAAGTTAACCAGATTAAAGTAATGAAACCGATTACTTCAATCCATTAATTCCTTACCAGCCTTTACGATCCATTGAAACATGCGCAGCGAGACATTAAAGTTGCTATATCCGGCTCGAATAACTCCTGTCTCACAATAACAAATGCAAAAGATTCGCAAAGATTGTAGGCCTACACATTCTAAATGGTAAACAATTGCAAG